AATAAATTATTCAGCAACAAAGCACTCTTCGTTCTATTTACAGTAAGTTAGAGCTAAGTGTGTGAGGTATACATAACTAACATGAAACACTATTCACTATCATTGCCAAGGCTGAAGCTTTTTCTGAACCCATTAGTCTCATATTCAGTGAGCCAAATCCCCATCAGGTGAAAACTAACATAACCTCATTGAATTTGCCTTGAAAGAAAGAGAAGCATGAAGGGTGACTTCTCTGATCTCCATCTGAGAATCAGAAAGGTCAAAGGATAGGTGTTATGGAATCTCACATATAAGTAGATTGTAGCATATTCCTTGTGTTTACTTCTCTGTTCATTTACATATAACACTCTTGAATGGCAGTCTGTCAACAACGTTGTTGAAAAAACTATACTAGTTTCTCTGACTGGATCCAGGAGTCTTCCTTAGCATATGCCTCATCTCTCTCCATGGATAGTAACCACAACAGGTGATGCACCGTGATTAGCCTTAGCTCCTGATAAAAAGATTTTTATGTTACGTGGAACTGGCTCATTGAGATCTAGATTTTAGACACCCATTTGATCCACACAGGTTTCCATATGCTCAGACTGGACCTGAAACAACTTAGAGATATAATACTTTTCTACTAATGAACAAACCATCCACCCAAATATCCCTAATATTACTGGGATACAGTTAAAAAGGTACCTGTGCTACAAAATAGTCATGAAACAGGTGAAAGTTGTCTTTATTGATTAATAAGAGTTCAAGGTAAAATCACAAGTCAGAATTAGATTAAGGTATGTGCATATTAGCAATTTTAAGAAAGACAAAGTTTTTGTGACAGATCTAAGGGAAAATAAGATATCTATATTTTTTGTGTTAGGTATACAAAATATTTGCTAATTGCTTTGTTCCCTGAATCTCATAAAAGAAGAAAATCAAAGTCCTCCTTATATATGCCTCTAGATTCACAGTTCGCGTCAATTCTCTGCTGAGATCCAGCATTCTTCCTGTGTAAGAAGTCTTTGAATTTATGTGGAAATAAAAAGGGTCTATTTCACCTCTAATTGCTGCCAGGAGTAGGGTAAAACTTTCTTAGCAGCAATTACAATTTCCTGTACAGTTTCAGCATATTATTGTATATGACTGTCTTCATTACTGGGCATGGGAAGCACTCAGCCTTGCCAGGAGAGCTCCTGCAGGCATCCCACCCAAACCCTCATGCTTTATGAGGCAATTTGATGTTCCTGACCATTAAAAGGATTTGATTTGTAAGCAAAACTGTTGGCTTATAGAATGGGGAAGTGGCAAGTTTAATGTCTGAGATGGTCAATTCCTAGAGATGCTGATGGACCATGGAGTGACTTGATCATTTCCAGACCCTGAAAAAGAAAAAATGGAAGTCAGCTTAGGTGAGAAAAAACAATTATCTTATGTTCAGTGGAGTCAGTTTTTCCAAGTGTATGGTTTATAGACCAGGTTCCTTAGAAGATGGAAGCAGCCTGGGTTTTACTCCTTGCTCAAAGAACAATTTCATATTTTTGAATAAGAACTAAGTTCATGTCTTCACACTAGAAAGCAACTTTACTCAATTGTCTTTAATGGATACAGACCCACTGGAACATCAAAGTAATGAGGAGAGAGGTGTCTGCCATGCACCCACATTATGACAGTCTGCAGCTGGGTGTTGAGTGTCCTTTCCTAATAAGCAATGGTGTGGATTTCAGTTCCTTCTGTGAGCAGAGGAACTATGCTTTCTTAGTTGAAGACTAAGCTACTAAGGAAAATTAAGTCTCTGCCTCTGCTAGAAGGAAAGAACAATCCTTTGGGAGATAGAAAAGACTTTGTTTAGATCACATATCTCTTTAGGCTAAGTCATGAACCAGGTATTAAGTTGCTTAGCACTTGAAGAAGGGGATGTGGCTGAACATGGATAGAAACAGAACTGGCCACAGCTGAACCGGTCACTGGCTCATACCTCAGGAAGTACAGTCTTAGGTTTTCTGCTTAAGTTAAACTTAGGGATCTTTCTCTCTTATAGAGCCAAAACCAGATTTCCAGCAGTAGTCTCATTAGCCCTTTTTTTCAAACCACCTGCTTTCTCAGAGATTTTGTGGCATGAAGATGGAAGGTTTTAGGCCAATATTCACTGCTTAAAATTTAATTTATTAAACTCCAAATTAAACATTTTTGGTTTTCCATGGAATTCTGATGGCATGTAACTTGACTATCAGCAGAAAGGAACCATTCAGTGTACATTTACCTTTGATTCTGTAGCTTAAATTCTTGCAAAACTTCTATTACTTCTAATACACTTTGCTAGTGTAATATGTGTAGGAGCAGATCCACTAAAACAATAAAAATAATAAGCATATATTTTGCTTTTATTTGGTCTTACAAATGTGTATAAGCTTCATGGAATCAGCTCAGCAAGTTTCTTTTAAAAGAAAAATCTCTGCCTACCAAGTTCATGGCGGAAAATGAGAATCCTTTGCAGCTGCTGCTGTGTTATTTACAATACAACTTTGGATCAAAAGATGGGTTTTAAAGAATTCCTAATGCTTTACTCTGTTGCCAAATATGTTCAGCTTTTAACAATGTTGAAACAGGCATTTCTACAGTGGCAGTTCCTCTAGGGTGATAAATCCCAGTTTATGTTTCACAGACAGAAGGTCTCCATGATCATTCTGCCTGTGTTCGTAAGCCAGGATTCAGAAAAATCACACAAAAGCAAAGTCTAAAGTCATATGTAGTGTTTGCCCTGATCCCCTTCCTCTCTCTCTAATCAAAGAACAGGCACTCTGTCATTAAATATCTTCTATTAAACATTTCATTTTCATTACTGAATGCTCTTTTCTGCTCACATGCTTGACATCACTGATAGCTGTAGCCAGTCATTAAGATTTGTGTTTCTTGTGATTTATTACACACTGAATCCTTTATTGCACTTCTGAATTGCTCAGAGTTTGTTTCTGTCTGACTTTGACAGTGCTTTGCAAGAAGTTCAAGTGCTGGACAGTGTGACTGCTAAGCTGAGAGTTTGTATGCAGCTCTCTGAGCTGTTAAAGTGCCACTTTCTAATTCAAATAGAAACACATCAAAACACTATGTGTACTATTGTTTTTCTTCTCTATAACTAATCCCTGAGTCTCTGTGCTGCCTTTCTATTACACTGATTACAAAACACAGTTTTAAGTCAAACAAGATTAAAAAACATAGTGCTGTGACTTCCAACCTAATTCCTAACAAATCTGTGGTGCACCAGATGCTCCTTCCCTCGGGATGAAATGATACATGGCTCTCTTTGTATTATCACTGCACAGACATGTTTACTCCACCCAATTTGCTCACATGGGGTAGAAGAAAAGACTGTTTAAGGGAGGTGTGCTTTCAAATGCCTTTGCAAATGGAAAGGATAGCAGGCAAATTTCTTACTTCTTCACCTCTTGGTGCCCTTGTTCACATCTATTTTATTTCAATAGTAGTTTGGAGGAAGTAAGTAAATGGGTGTATTGAGCTTTTAGCTGTTAAATTGTGGGAACTAATGCTCATTCCGTGAGACAGTCAGGAGACTCTGCTCTGTACATAAAAGAAGGCCAAGAGCTGTCAAATATCATGATCTAAAAATACAATGAAAACTTCAGCTTTTGCACTGAGGTCTTCTTAAAGAAGTCAGGAAGAAAGCAAGTATAATTTCAAAACAAAAGTAAAATCCTTTCCAAGCCACCTTTTCAACTCCAGGTGCAGGAAATGATAATTATTTATAGACTTCATTCAATTAAAGTCTGTGAAGTCCCTTAACCTCTGGTAAGCTAAAGCAGATCAGGAGTGCCAAGGTGATTTCCACATAAACAGCTCCTGAAGGGACAGGAATTGGCAGGGACACTGTGTGGCATTCTGCAATTCGTGGTCTAGCTAATATTTCAGGAAACATGATACATGTGTGCTACAGGCCCAGTCCTGCACCTGTCAATGTTAGTGGCAACATTTCTAGTGATTTCATTAAGAGCAGGACCAAGCCTGCTTTAAGCATTAGATACTCTCAGTGCTTCAAACGCGTGCAGAGGAATTGCCAGGAAGATTGGAAACCAAGTGGTAAATCTATGTCAACAGGAAAAGCAATCCCATTTGGGTATCTGTCCCTGTTTGTTTTGGGGAGTTGTGGTAGGCACACACACTCGTTGTATACAAGCAGTGATTTGCCCTTTCTGCCTGCAGCCAGTGTGAGCTACCCTTGTTCACACTCCAGCCCTGCCTGTTGAGCCTGAGGACAGTGTTGGTGCAGGAGCTCCATGGGACAGTTACTAATGACTGATAAAAGAATAAATCCCCACTGTAGATATGGCCTGAGGCTGTTTGTGTGACCTGCCAGGATGATCTTTAATATTTATTGCTGATTGTAAACTAAGTAGACATCAGAAACCTAGGAGAGGTTTGTTCACCTAATCTACCTGTTACAGCTCCACTGCCTGGGGCTTTTTCAGTAAAAGCCTAGACCTGAACATCACTAAGTGGAGTCATCATAGAGACGAGCTCTCTTACCCCTCATTAGTTAGGAACAAAATAAGCTGCAGCAAAATTTTCCTCTGTGCAAGCTCCTCTACAACCTCAGGCTTTATTCAGTCAACACTGATCATAGGGGAAAATTTTTTAATAATGGGAATAATGGTTTTTAGATGTTAAATTCCATCATGATTCCTCAGTAAAATAATCTTTAACAAAAAGTATTCAAATAATAGGAGAGGAGCCTCTGCTAGGCTATAGTTGAAACCTCAGTGCTATCAATGCACATTCAATAGTGGTCAAAATGCCAGTAATAAACTTTCCTCTTCCTTGGGTGACTCTTCACCCTTTTTTTTCTTTTTTTTTTACCATATACAGTTATTCTACATGTTTTAAGTCACAGCTGAAAGAATCCCTTTGTTTAAAAGGAATGTTTATTTTATATTTCTGAGGAAAATAATCACTAAAATTATATACTTCTCTTTGTATTGCTTCCATTTTTTATTTAATTTCAGGTCAAAATCTCAATCTAGAAACTGTTTCCTGGTTGTTCGCTGAAGAGAGGTTGAAAAGTCAAGATCCCCTGAATCAGCAGCAGTAGAAGGGTTCTTCAGTTAATTTAACCAACATAATTGCCTCAGCAAAGGTCATGAAAAGTTTGCCTCTGGAACATTACAAGAAAACCAAAGCTAAATATATTCATCTGTGCAAAAACTAGTGAATGAAGAAAACTTCACGAAGTAATGACATCTACCAGCAATAAACAACAACTGGAGCATTTGGAATTATCAAAATAAAAGCAAAGAATTAAAAAGGACTTGCTTTTGCTCTATAGAAAGAAAATTTAGAATTTAATATTAATTAGTGTTGGTTTGCAGAGAATAATATGGTGACAGCAAGCTAGAAAGGGAGAGAAACTGAAAGAAAGCAATGCTTTTACACTGCTGTTCTGTATTCCTGGTATATCCTTTCTTAACATAACTGTTAACATTAAATAGAATGCAACACGGTGCCAAATGCTTCGGAGTTGATATGGACTGTGAGTAGGCTCTGTATGTAAATGTATCATTGCAAGGATATGTGAGAACAAACCACTCCGCCTACATAGAGAGGTGTAAATAGATGCATATACTCCACATAGGACCTGCTGGTAACATGATTTTTATGTATAATCATTAAATGTTCTCAGTCCTAATTCCAAATGGATTTGTCCATTCTTTCTGAATTTTTAGTAAAGATATTGAAAAGGCTTGTATAGACTGCCTGAGATAATTTTGCAAAATGAGAACACATACTTTAAAGTTTGCTGGTATTAAATGGTTGGGGGAGTATAGTACAGAGTTTGAATAAACCTTCAGATTCACTGATGACACATAATGGTAGGAAGGGATGGGTTGTACTATAGGCTAAACAAGTGTATTTCAGGTGGAAAAAAGCCAGCAATTAGAAAACACTTTCCTTCACACTATTGAAAATGTGTGTCTGCCTGCCTTTTAATTACAGTGTGTGGAGACACTGCTGAATCACCCGGCTTGGTATGTTCTAGAGAGCTTATTGTCATCATCTCCCTCCATGGACTACATCTCTCTCCTGATAAGACAGAACAAAAACAAGAACTATGATCTGGGGCTGACTCATTAAAAATTTCACAGACAGACAATGCATTATAGATTTTCAAACCATTAGCCTAAGCCAATATTAGTTTGCACACTAAAACAAATAACAAAATAGACCAACCATCAGATGATTTGTCTCATCTTTAACTCAAGCCCTTGGAAATTATACTCAACCAAAACCGTCCCCTTTGTGGAAGAACCATAATTCTGTCCCCTCATGTAAGAGGTTAAAATAGGATTTCGTTTGCTAGCAGCTTGTCCTTAATGCATGCAAAACTGAGTGGGTTTGAAATGTGACCTTCTGTGAGCAAAGTCACAGACAAACTCTTCAGTTCATGAAAGATAGCAAATGTGATGTTGAACTAGACTAACAGCATTGATTTGGAGAGCATAATGTGACAGTGTTGTATCTATGCTGCAAGATGAATGGTGCAAGCTGAATGGTTACATGTGGAAAAATGGTTCCGGTATTTTTACCAAAAAAAGGGAGTACCAATGACAGTGTTTGAGGTTATCTTTATTCTTTTCAGGATCTGTTTTGTATCTGTGTTCTAAGTCTCATCTTCCTATGTTCATGTTTACTCATGGCCATCTCTAAAATTTCAATGGCAAATGAATGAATTGTTACTTATATGACTAGAATTGTAATTTCGTAAATGTAACTTCTCTAATCTTCTTCATTTCTTGATACTGCCAAACTTTGAAACACATAGACAAATTCCAGTGGACTCTAAGAAGCCTCAAAAGCATGTGCCAAAATTAAAGTGAACTGAGACAAAATTTGCAGATGATTAAAAGTGAACAGCAGAAGTTCAGCAGCAACACACTATTTAAGACAATGGGTACCTCCTTTTCATAAGCCAATGTGTATTTTCTTGTGTGAAAATGCAAATTATACGGGATTGATCCCTTTGATAAACTGGTAAATTACCCACACCCTGATATTTTTGTTTTCTAGTGAAGATTCTTAAATTCATATAGAGCCTTATGTTTTGCAAATTTTCTTTTTGTTTGTGTCATTTGCCCAGAGGATTTGAGTTTCTTGCGCTACTTGGGAGCTTCTTCACTGACTTTTCATGGTTATACTTTAAAAATATACAGTTGGTCTTTTTGGTTTTGGAAACAAAATTTTTTTTTGTACTTGAAGATCCTGGACCATAAACAGTGGAAGTGGTCTCTATAACGTGTAGGAGGAGTATACTTGTATTTCCTTGCTACTATTACTTTAGTTTGGAAGTGATCCAGTACTTTATTCAGATACATTTTTGAGGGCTGAAAGAGCATGATCATACCTGTTGACTCCATTGAATTTCCTAGCAACCATTGTTCCCCTTTGTATTCTTTTACATACCCTGTTTCCCCAGTTTCCAGTAAATTGAAAAACATTCCTTTCTTGGTAACTAATGACATCTCAAAGCATTAAATCCGATCAGCAGCACAGATGCTTCTCTTCTGGCTTGTATCAATGAGATGTAAGTCACAGGACAGTGACAGATAGGATCTGGGGAGGAACTAGTCAACTACAGTGCATATTAGTTGGTTATGTTGCCCCTTCACATGACATAATCCTGATTTTGATGTTATATTATACTGACCTTTAAGTTTACTGACTAAAGAGAACAGTTATGTAACTGGGATCAGCTAAACCAAACAGAGCAAAAATATGAAGAGATGGAATCCAGACCTAGAAAAGTGCTAGTACAGAAACATAAACTGCTGGTCAAAAATTTTACTGAAGGACCAGTTTCATTACGGTGTTAAAAATTATTTCTATTAAAAAGAGATCCTCCCACTATGATATGGTTCCTTTTAGTCTTCTGTATTAACAAAGTAACTTCTTACTTGCTATGTTAAAGGAGATGCTAAATGGTTCATGAGTCCATGTGGATGTGAGAACAGATGGGCAGAGGCATGTATTAGTGCTTTGTTTCCTTTTTTAAATTTACTTTAAATACCAGCAGGTGTAATATGCTTTTAAGTAGAGCAGGCCCTGATTAGCTGCAAATAGCTACTGCTATTTAAAAACATGGCCCTTCTAAAACAGGTAGTTCTGAAAGGTCTCCCAGAGTAGAGAAGGAAGGCAAGGCAGAGCTGAGTAGTTGTCTCTGAAACCCAGGTTAGTCTGGGTTGGGACTGGAATTTCCTAGTGGTTGACTATGTTCCTAAAAAGTCCTTTATGCAGTGACTCCAAGAGGAATAGGATTGAGGACACAAAAGATGTATGGAGGTGGTTATAAGATCTAGCTGAACACAGAAGAGTGCTCCTTTTAATAGAAGCTGAGAGGGAGAATGGTGTGGGACCACAGAAAAGGTAGCCTATGTCACTTAAGAGCATTTATGGGTGGTCTGCATGGTCATTCTCTCCTGATCAAGCTTGTTTTCATCTTTCAAAGACTCAATATCTCCAGCTCTGGTACCTTGAACTCTCTAAGGCTTACCTTTTTCTCCTATTTTTTTTACTCTATTTCCAGCTACCAGCTACTTGCTATTTTTTTCCACTGCTGTGCACTGTTTGTAGTTAGAAAGCTTTACAGTAAGAATGACTTGAGCCTTAGTGGGCTGAAAGACCCCTGTCAGTCAGACTATGGGAGAGCAAGCTCTGCTGAGGGAACTCAAGCGTGTCTCCACAGCCCATAGAGGTAGCTATACACATACTGCACAGTTTGATCCAGGACATCACCCTGGAAAGCTGACATCTAACTAGCTGCAGAGCTTAGCTGACCTAGCTAGCCCTGCTAGCAATCAGCCTTTTTGTTCCCAGTTTGTTTTGGGGTTTTTTTCCACCTGGGACAATTCTGTACTGCAGCCTGAGTTCAGAGCAGAGGCTACCCATTGATGAAGAAGGAGGTCAGAGGGCTGATTCCAGGAGTTCCAAGATTTCACCTAGGTGGATTTTTTACTACCATATGCGATTAAGTGGAACTTACTTTTATTGTAGAAGAGTGTAAAGGGGCTTGAAGCATTCTCTTATGACAGATGAGCTTCTCTGGGAAGATCCATGAGCACTCAAGACTGTGAAGAACACTTAGGCTTTTGTTTTGTCATTTGAGTTAAAAAGGTCAGGCCACAGGAAGGATGAAAATCTGGAATGAACACACAGTGCATGTTCTACCCACAGAAGAATGGGGATATGCATGTTTACATCTTCTCTCCCCAGTTTCCTTTTGAATAGTGAATAGTGTGTCTCAGAGACTGTCTCTTGGACTTCTTCATTAGGGATTTTCCTCTCTGATGAGGGCAGTGATTTAGAAGCCATTTGTTTGGGGTTTTTTGTTTGTTTGGTTTTTTGTGGGTTTTTTGATTGTTTGTTTTTGTTTGGTTTGTTGTTGTTGTTTGGTTGGTTTTGTTTGGTTTGGGAGGGGTTGTTTGGGTTTTGTTTTGTTTTGTTTTCATTTAGAGAATTCAAATCTAATACTGGACTAATGCCGAAGAACTGGGAAAGGAAGAAGCCCTGAATTAGGCTTGAAAACCAGATAAAAATGGTATTAAATGTAATGGTTTTTTGTTGTATTATAGAAGCCAATTGTTGCCACTGAGCAGCAATGCAAGTACTGTATGTTGCAGATGTTGCTTACACCCTCTAGTCCAAAGTCTTTCCCAAACCTGGAAATGCTCTTCTCCCCAGATCCTTATTTCTCGGGCAGTTTGTGCTATTTAAATATGCTAACATGTTGAGAAGAGACCGAAAGAAACAATCTAATGCAGTACCTACACCATTGTGGCTGTACGTCACTTCTACGTGGTATTTTAAGCCATTTTCGTTATTCTGTGTTTGCCATTCTGTCAACTGCCTTGACTTGCAGGTGTGCTTCACTGCCCATTGATTGTATCTAATGTTTTCCCTGTTCTTTTCCAATGTTTCTATTTTTCCACTTCATAATTCTCTTCTCCGTTTACTTGATTCTTGTCTTCAGACCTTACATCCTTCCTGATATCATCAGATTGCATTTCTACTGAAGGATAGAAGCTGTCAGAACCCTTTAGGTTATCTCACTACTTTGAGAAAAAAAAAAAACAAACAGTTGGACTTGCTTGTAGTTCTAGCTCAGTTCTTTTATCTATACATCAGTCATGGATTAACAAAGTCAACCATGAAGAGCTAGTAATTTTATTTTTTTTTCTTTACTTTAAAATCAAATAATTTTGTCCAGTTCCTCAGTTTCCATCTCTAACATTGTCTCTAGCTCCATTTCTTGTTATGACTCCTATGTAGACATTCATATGAGTTAAAACACAATATTTTTCCTTAAACAAAAACTTCTTACATGCCAAGGAAAATAACCATCAAGACTACGTGTAACAATGCCATCTGGTGACTCCTACCATAACAAGTTTTTTCCTCTGCCTTTGTCTCCTACTGCTTCCCCCTCACCCTTTACTGTCTATGTCATCACTCATCTCCCTAACTCTTCTTTTCATTGCCTTCCCCTCCTTCTCAGTCACAGTATTTGTGAGGTCTATAATCTCACTTTAATCATAGAATGGCCTGGAAGGAATCTTAAAGATCATCTAGTTTCAACCCTCCTGCCATAATGTCTCCTTTTTATTCACGGTATCTTTCTCTGGTGCT